CACACACACACACACACACACACACACACACACACACACACACACACTGTGTTCCTTTTTGAAGTCAACTACTGGCAGACAGCCCTCTTGAATCCCAGGGTGAAGAAATACCTTGTACTAACGGGAGAAACAACCCCAATGTCCCCACATCTGAGTCTCAATGGTCAGACTGGGACCTTAGTTTACTGATTTTCTTTTCTTCTTTTAGGTACAAAGAGTTGGATTCTGGAGACCGTTTTCTGAATAGTTTTAGGAAAATCAACTGACCTCACCCCCCTAGTTCCTAAGTAGGCTCTTCCAGCAGGCTGTGTTCCAGATTTACATTAGATTGCAAGTGAGAACTGGGGTTCTTACTTTTCCTTCGGCACACTTCGTTCCTGCAAGCACAAGCCCTGGGTCTGGCATGTCATCACCCAAGTACACATGGGTCCCCCGGCACAGAATCCGACCTCCTTCCTGCTGTGGGATATTTGTTTCTATGGAAACGGCATTGGTACCAATGACTGGTCGGCTGGCACCACCTTGACACTGGATTTTTCCACACTTGGCATCTCTGGAAAGGTAAGAATAGACAAGCTCAGAAGAGGGGCAGTGTGGAGCAGCCTCTGCCACGTGGGCCGGCTCAGTGCCGCTGTGGCAGGGTGTGTGGCCTCATACCTCATCTCACATTTGACGAAGGCGCTCTTGGAGTCTTTGCCACAGTTGCCATAAGGATCTCCTGCAGAGTTGACTCTCTCAAAGCAGATGCCAGGAGCTGGTTTAGCACCTGGAACAGAAGCACAATGATACTTTCCTCATTATTGCTTCTGATTTTCTCTGAACAGTACTGGTGTTTGGGGGCAAGGGAAGGGCCACTCTGTGGTTAGTGGCACACAGTGCCCAGCTGGATCAGGAGTGGACTGGAGCAAACTTGAAGGATCTGCAGCTGGCGTTCTCTGCTGGCTCAGCTCAGTAAAAACACACTCATTTTTCTGTGTTGTAGGCTTAGATTCGGGACCCAAGGCATGTGCAGACTCTCAAGAGATTAGGCCTGACTCTGCAATTGGATCTGGAAAGGAGCAGGAAGGAGTTGGCTGGCTGGCTGCAGACGAGGGGAAGCTACTCTCTGTAGCAACATCCCACACAATTCCGGTGAGAAAAGGCAAGTTAGGCAGGTTCCAAGGAATAGTGATGACTAATGTGTGTGTGTGTGTGTGTGTGTGTGTGTGTGTGTGTGTGTGTGTGT